TTGAAATGTGAAATTGTAATAAGTGACAACTTGAATATTTGATTTGACTAAACTTTAAAATCAGAACAAACACTTACTTTAAGTTAAACAACATTTTTTTTTACAGTGTACCCATAAAACCCCAAGAAACTGCATAGCCACATTTGAAAAAACGCCATCTTAGCAAACCACAGAGTTCCTCACAGGAAAACACTAATATATTAAGTTAATTCCTGTCTGAAAAGCTTGAACAAAAGAAAACGAGTACTTTACTAAAAGTCCTATTGACCTTTCATAGGACAGTATTTTCTTTCTGTCATTTATTTCAATTCCTTGGAACACCCTGTTCTTAACAAGAGACATCCAAGTACTTAATTCCTGTCTGGTGTTGCTATTAAACAGCACTGTTTATCTAAGGAAAAGAGTCTGTTGCCAGAACGAACCACATGGCCTCTCAGTAGCACTATATAAAAAAGCCGGCCATAAAACCGTCAAGTTCAAACGTAAAGAAAACCATACTTGAAACTGTGCAGTAAAACAGAGCCTGTGGGGAAAGTTTCACAGTCAGTGTTTATGCCACATTCTCAAATGACTTGAGAGTGTCTATTCCAGTCATACAAATGACGACTAAAAGAACAGCCTTTTCAGAAATGTGAAATTTGCACTTCTCACTTTGAAATTTGCATCTTTTTCTTATTTTGCCCTTTAATTAAAAAGAAATTAAATTGGCGATGAACGTGAACTTTTTTGCTAACTGCTAAAGTAGATTTTTTTTGTATTATGCAAATGCTGTATTCACTTAATAACGGTAAACAAATATATTGGCCAGGCCGATTAATCAATGAATTCCGCATCACCTTAGTCGATAATTGTACTAGATTGTGTGATTAAAGATGAAAAATGTTCTTAAAGTTGAAAAACATACCATTTAACTATTTTTTTAGTCATGTGACATTTTATTTTTATTATTTTAATTAGCCAATTAATAGTTGAAAATATTTATGTTTTCAGTTTTGAAAGATTATTTATTCAGCAAAATTGTGTAAAAAATGCTCAATTATCATGATTGAGCTGTATTATTTATATTTATACATTATATTAGCCACCGATGAAAAAAAAAATACAACTAATTATTTTATGCACTTGCTTGAAGTGAAATTCAACCTGAATGTTTGTTATTCCAACATTGAATGTTCCGTTTGTACGTTGGCTTTGTCTCTGTGGCACTTTGGAATAACATTGGGTTGGTCATAGAGGCGGCCGGTGGGTTGTAAAGAGGAGAACTGAAGTATCTGTTCTCTTTGAGAAAGTGCTCCGGCTTATTAAGGGCTGAACGTGCAGCCAGGGGAGGCCGAGAGGGAGCGGGAAAGTGCCTGCTAGCCAACAGCTGCCCTGTAATTTATATTGATGAGGGGACCGGTGGGCTGCTTCCACGGTTTTGATCATTCAGGCAAGAGTGGAGAGATGAGGCTGATGAATCTGTGTGATGTGAGTGTGGGAAGATGAGAGTTTGCAAAGAGTGTGTGTGGTTGAGTCTGCATGGTTACGGTGCTGCTGCGGGTTGTTGTTTTCTGCAAGTCAAAACAGGTTAGAAGAATCCTATTTTTATAGAAGCAGTAATGCCAAGTGTTGTTACAAAGATACCAAAAAATACATATTAAAAAACCTAAGATTAAAATCAACCAAAATTATCCAAATATTTTGTAAATATGAAAAACGGTAGAAATGAGCAAGTTAATTTACACGTGAAACAATTGAAATAAAGGTATAGTTAAAGAAAAGCTGAGAAAAACTGGGTATCATAAACTACTAAATAACAACAGACTTTCAATACGTTCCGAACACAACAGAAAAATGCGCCTCGCTGCTAGGAATGACACATGACAAATGAAAGCAACATGTTTTCTAAAATAAGCCGAAAACATGTTTGATATCGTCTGACTACATGTAATCATAGTCTGAAGCTAAAAAGTCTGTGCTCATCATATACTATGCATTTTTTTTGTGAAATTTGCCAATCCAAATCAGCTTTAGATTGACTTTTCGAAACAAGTGCTGACTCCACCAGAATGCAAATCGGGGGAAAAATCTGGGCAAAAGATGTGTTTTCCAGCCTAGATCCTCCAAATGAAAGGAAATACATAATAGAGACTCTAAGGGGCTGTTAACATTACATCATTTTCAAATGAAAACCAAAAACATTGATGCGTTTTGGCCGTTCATTTTCACGACAAAGCCGTTTTAAAGACCTGAAACCGCAAAAACGCAAAGAGTTTTTGAAAACAATATCGTTATCGTCTCCATGTAAACAACAGAAACGTGAATTTGTGAAAACTGTGACGTCATGCACACGTGTGACAAAGTGAGATCGCCAACAACTGGCCTGGCATGAATAATACGGCGATTTTAGACTTTTTTGTGGATCCGTGTGAACGGGGGTCTTTTTGACAACGTTGTTTCCAATTTCTGGTTTATAGATGTACTTGTCGAGCAAATGTAGCCTAAAAAAATGTCATATTTCTAATTTGTGCTGTTATTAGGCTAGTTTGGGTTAGTTTCGGGCTGTCTTTGTCTCACAGACCTGGCAACCCTGGATTGGGGGAAATGTGTGTAAATGTAATGTTTAGTTGTTATAGCCTTGGGTGTGTGTGTTTGCATGTGCATATGAGCATGGGTATGAGCACATTCCAGTTCAGTTGCTTCCATGAATGCATTATGGGTGCATATGCAGTCTATTCGATTGTAAAACACACATTTGCACAACCCCCAACCAACACACACATCCTGTGAATTATCTATCCAATCTCAGCGGATACCTTCAGTAAAGTCAGCATGAACACCATTTTAGTTTATCCAATGCGGCGCATTTTCATGTGCAACAGGAAGTTTGTACCAATCATTTTTAACATGTATCGATGAGGGTGCAAGGGCATTGCTAGGGAATTGCTATTACCACTGAAAACAATTAGGGTTTGATTTCAATACTAAAACCAGCCAATTCCTTAGCATGAATTATGCTGAGCGATACACATGCTAATTACTTTCGTAACCAGCAAGACCATTTCTCAACCCATTATGTGTTTCTTAACCCTTTCGTTGTCAAACAGTGCCCCTTGACCCTTGGCAGCAGCCTTAACATGTCATCTTCACACTTCATTCTCTTCTTCTTTCTCTCTAACTGCCTCTCTCGCACTTTCTGACACGCGTCATTAGCATTTCTTTCATTGAGATTAAATAGTGAAGTCCGGTCCATGGCTTTGAACCCCCTTTCACTTGAAACGTTCTTTGATTTCACTTCCTTCTGTTAAGGAGAAGTGATCAGCACCGTAATTAAGATAGCAGTAGGGCCCTGGAAGAAAGGATGAAAGATCCACCTTTGTGCTGGATGAATGGAAAAGACAGCTACAACTGGATATTTCTACAGCCTTTCAACAAGTCAAGTGAACGTAGACAGATGAAAGGATGGAAGTATTTTTATGGAAAATGACAAGATGAGCTTTCATTAGCTAGATTTACAGCTGACTAGAATGTAAAACAAATACAGCATCTTAGAAACTGGTCAATGCTAACTAGCTCGCAATGCTAATGACACTGTTAGCTTAACTACTGTTTTCAGTAGTGAATCTTGATCAAATGTTTTCAAAAAATGACAAGATGAGCTTTTATTAGCTAGATTTACAGCTGACTACAATGTAAAATAAATACAGCATCTTAGAAACTGGTCAATGCTAACTAGCTCGCAATGCTAATGACACTGTTAGACTACTGTTTTCAGTAGTGAATCTTGATCAAATGTTTTCAAAAAATGACAAGATGAGCTTTCATTAGCTAGATTTACAGCTGACTAGAATGTAAAACAAATACAGCATCTTAGAAATTGGGCAATGCTAACTAGCTAGGAATGCTAATGACACTGTTAGCTTAACTACTGTTTTCAGTAGTGAATCTTGATCAAATGTTTCCAACATATAAAATGACAAGATGAGCTTTCATTAGCTAGATTTACAGCTGACTAGAATGTAAAACAAATACAGCATCTTAGAAATTGGTCAATGCTAACTAGCTAGCAATGCTAATGACACTGTTAGCTTAACTACAGTTTTCAGTAGTGAATCTTGATCAAATGTTTTCAACATATAAAATGACAAGATGAGCTTTCATTAGCTAGATTTACAGCTGACTAGAATGTAAAACAAATAGAGCATCTCAAAAATTGGTCAATGCTCACTAGCTAGAAATGCTAATGACACTGTTAGCTTAACTACTGTTTTCAGTAGTGAATCTAGATCAAATGTTTTCAAAATAGTGGTGATTTTTTTCAGTATCAAATACTTGAAAAGTAGCAGTTGGTGTGACAAAATGCGACATTATTGTAAGCTTGACAAGTTGGACTATTTTAAATTGTGAGAGTAGCTTGACAAGCTACAGTTTTAAAGTAGCTTCCCAGCACTGAAATGTATTAAAAATTCAGCTTCAGAAGCTCAGGTGTGAAATTGAACCAAACTGCAACCTCAACTAAACTTGAAACGAAGATCAAGTCACTGATATACTTAATCTAATGCACAGAGTCCCAAAAGGTCACATATGCAACTTGTCAGAGATTCTACAGTCTTCCCTCCAGAGCTGATCCATATCTCTCTCAGAGACTTATCAAAAGGAACGTCTTTAACCTCACTCGCTAAGGTCACGCACAAAACGCATACTTGTTTTCAAAGAGCAAGCAGAGTAGATAATATACAGCATCTTCTTCTTCAGAAAAAAAATCACATGATTTCTATGAGAGATTCAGATTTCTTAAATGAATAACAGCAGACAAACTTTCTTTTTTCATACAGTGAAAAAATAACTGAGAAACAGCAACAATATTGCTGACCACACACACATACACACAAGGATACCTGGAGAAGAAAAACCCAACTAAATAAAACTTCAAAAATGCACTAAAAAGAGTAGTCCAATGAAAATTAAGCATTAAAATAAAACTTAACATTAAAATAATTAAAAGAAAAATAAGTACTTACAAGTGTGTGTCTTCTTTGTTACTGAAATACCTGCAAAAGATAGATAAAGAAAAAAAAATATTACTTTTTTTTCATTATTTCAAATAAACAGTCTGTGTACAGCTGAAAGCTATGTAAATTACAGAGAAAGCTGAAAGCATACTGGAACGGAGATGCTGTAAGCTGTGACATTGACCGAGAGCCAAAAGCTAGCTTTGACTGTGTTAATGCTTCCTAGCACTGCCACAGGCTGAGTCTAAGCAAGGTCAGGCAGGTCAGTGTGTTGCCGTCACACGGACCAGGCAGTAGCCTTGCTGTCACAGTTGACCTCCACGCAATGGAAATTAACAGGAAATCACATACAGAATGCTAAACAGATCTGTGAATATGTTCATGTCTGTTGGTGTAGCCCAGAAGCACCGGGTGCATCTTTATGTCTGACCTTATAAAGCATGACTAATGCCACAGAGGCACGGATGGATGTGTGTGCATGTTGCTGAAACAGAGGGTCCCATGTGGGCCGAGCGTGCTCATGCTCTATGGGCTACAGCAGACTAATAGATCCCACTTGTCATGCGGAAGCAATGGCTAATTTTTCTACAGCTTGCATTTGAAACTCAAGGGACGCCGAGCTGACATGATTCAGTAATTCCACAGAAAATAAAAAGAGCTCTGGCCGGCGATAACGATGCTTCAGATGTTTTTTTGAGGGAAGGGGGAATACAAGTCAAAGACGGTAAAGCAAATGAGCAGGCACACGGATGCACCTGAGGACATGCCAGCAAAAACACAGAAAGGACCCAGAAGCGAAACTTGAGGCACTCCTGTAAAGCTTCACAAATCAACAATGCTATCGCTCAAAGCACATTGTCCAACAACAACATTACACAAAGAAACAAACAAGCAATATTCCTCTTGTAACTTACACCTGCAATCAAATCACAAAGCACTGAGCATGGGGGTAAACGGCAATTACCAAAATATGACGTCAAGCTGTGGCCAATACTGAGGTCTAAACACAAAGGTCTCATCCTAGGAGCCAGTGTAGCTGAAAATATTGAAAATATTAAAGGCATCCTTCAATACTCATCCTCATATTGTATCAAACCCATTAATTGTAACAACACGGAAAAAAAGTGACCAGTATTTATACAAAATGTCATCTTTTGTGACCCACTGAAGAAAGTCATACAGGTTTGGGATGACATGAGGGTGAGTAAATGACGATTAAATGTATTTATTTTTTAGCGAACCATCCCTTTAAGGAAACTTTTCTAGTCTAATGGTGTGAAATAACAGGAATGGTCCAAGGGAATAAGCCATTTATCCAATCCATGTGATTTGGACCAGTTTCTTTCCTGGCGAGCTCTCGATTTTTACAAATGAAATGACTGCCCAGTAACTGTCATGGTTAAAACTCTGGTTGGAAAAGGGAAGAGTCATTGATATCGGCCTACTTATTAACTACGGAATAGTATTTTTGTTTAGTTTGGTTTAGAGGATTCATAACATTCAATCTTTTAAGAGTGGACGACAGTAAAATAGCTAAACTAGACAATATATTTCCAAGTTCAAAGCAACATGTAAAATTCAATATCCTAAAGACAACACTCTCCCAAAATATCTTCTGTTGTACTCCACAAAAGAGATAAAGGTTTTAGAAAAGCTGCATTACTTACAACAGGAGCCTAAAATAATGCATACAATGGCCATTTAACGCTTTAAAAATATAGTTCAGCTTAGGTGACATTAAGCCTTTGAGTGATAACTTTGTGAACGTGCTTGCAAAAGCATACCTGAGGAATAACCACAAACCCACACAACACTGAGGGGGAAAAAACATCCTATCGCCATGCATTCTATCATTCAGTATGAAACAAAACAGGTTGCGCTCTGTAGTTATCAGATACCTCATGAACTTTGCTAAGAAGAAACTGAGGACACTGTCAGTCTTTGATCCAACTTCTGTCACTATCACTCATTCTTGCCCTGTCCTCCCTCTCTCTCTCCATGCTATTCCCATCCTTATTCAGTAGAACTATCAGCTATCTGTCTCTGATCCTTCCCAAACCACAACAGCTATTCTATCAATGTCACTTACAGATATGAAAACCAATCTTAACGCAAAAAAAAAATGTACTTGCTCGGAAATCATTACTGTCAAAAAGAGGACGCTAGGCTTGGTCAGAAAAAATGGCCTGTTGCTAGGAGGGAGAGGGGAGGGGTGGAGAGAGAGCCCACTTCCTCCTCTAGGTGTCATTGGGAGGGCTATGATTGGAGGGTGCAAGGGGAAGGGGCCAGGGAACCAATGGGTGAACAGAGTTTGGAGCTGGAGGGGGTCTGGGTCTAGGCCCTGACACCAGTGAAGCCTGCCAGGTTATGTCTACTCCACTGGAAGATGGGGTGATGGGTCGCTTTGGAGGTGAATCCATCCTTGACAGATGGAAAAAGCTTGCCCGGCCTTCTTCAAAGGACGGCATCATGATTGCGGTCAAAAAGTGCTGTGGAATTCAGAAATTCTACTGGAGGACCGTAAACAAAAGATACAATAGATAGAACGATAGATAGAACGATAGATAGATAGATAGATAGATAGATAGATAGATAGATAGATAGATAGATAGATAGATAGATAGATAGATAGATAGAACGATAGATAGAACGATAGATAGAATGATAGATAGATAGATAGATAGATACAGAGAACAATAGACAGTATATATAGATAGATAGAAAGACAAACAGATAAGAAGAATGGATGTCGGAAATGGCGGGTAGAGGGAAAAAAACATTGGATGAATGGATGACAAAACAATGACAGATGTAACGTGATTTGCCAAAACATATTGTACCATCCTCAAAGAACATGCAACCCAAAACAATGGTTTCAGAAGTGACACTGTCTGACATAAATGCTTGTAATCATTTGTGTACATGAAAGGTGATCACGATCATTTCCACTGTTTGCATAACCCAATCAAAAGGTCATCTTTCCGGATGTCTACAGGGAAGTCATACAAAACTGATTATTATTTGGTGTCCATACAGTTGTTTATTATTAAAGCATTCAAAAAGACGTATGTAACCCATGCCATTTTTAACTATAAAAACAGAATTTTACAATCGTAATATATTACAGTTGTCAGGGACAAACAGTGTTCAGGGTATTTCCTGGAAAATATTCGAAGCATGTCCACGGCCATAATTCATTGCTTTCTTCCTCTTGTAGATTCCATATGCCGAGCACACTGATGACTGTTTGAAGTTAACCTTTAGCACATCTGCCACAGAAGGCCAAGCAGTCCACATTCCTTGCCAGGTAAAGCCGTCTGTATTGCAGATGGGGAAAACACCGTGGGACACCGTCTCATGGTCATGTTTAAGAAAAATAAAAAGACCTGCACAAGGCAGAGTCTTTATTCCTTATCCAAATCCCAGTGTAAACCGATAAGAAACATTGTGAAAGCAGACTCATATCAGAACATAAAGGGATGTGTGCAGGGTCCAAATTAAATGTGTGAGCAAGAACCGGCGGGACCAAAGAGCGCTCTGTGTCTTGGTCTGTCGGGCAAGCTGTGCATCATAATTCCAGCTTCCTTAGCACCTGACAGCAAATGATTATCATGGATGGTTATTGTCAGCGAGGCCTCTCCGGCAGGGTGCTTGACGCGCTGCGCTAGGGTTCGGCACTCCGTGACATTCAAAGTTAGAGTCTCCTTGACGTAATGGAGCTGTCCCCTCACCGAGCTAATGGGAACGATCCATTTAACCTGTGGCAGAAACACACAGGCGAGGAAGTTCCTAATGCGAGGCCAGTCCCGTGGGGGGGCCCGCTCAACGCTCTCTCTTCCCCCCCGGCTGCTGCCGGTCAGATTGCTTGATTCATTGACTGGTGCTTCACACTTATCCTCATTCACTGTTCAGTCTATGGAGACCGGCGAGGGAGGAGGACAGTGGCTCTCTCAGCCATACAAGGACAAGGCTTGTATAGACACCTCTGGAAAAATGTAACAGCTGAGTAGGGGATGATGACAGAGATAAAGATGGGTGGCTTGCTTGAGGGTTGGTGGACCCCAACGCAATTGTGATATATTGGAACAATAGACTCTGGTTTTAGCTAGAATTACACAAAATGGCCCTGGACTGAAAAAAAAGGACCTTTCTTTTTTTGGTAGGCATTTCAAGACAAGAAAGGTTCTTGGACTTTTCTGCAACAACATCATTCTGCAATAAAATCAAAGAGTGGGCTGTCCGTTGGCAATAAGAATGACATGGGACATCAGAGCTGACTTTAATATGTAGCGTGGTTGCGCTTCGAGTGACTCAAGTTCGAGTCTCGGCTTGGGGACCTTTCCCGATCCTTCCCCCCTTTGTTTCATGTCAGTCCGCTACACATTGCTGTGCATATTTTGTATGTCTCCCATATCTGACTCACTCAGTTCAGTTCATTGAGCTCTTTCCTAACAAGCTGATGACCAAGATGAATCAAGCCTGTTAAATAAAGAAGACATACCTAGGTTCCCAAATAGGCCACAAACTCAGCTTATTAAACATGGCTGCGTTTCCCAAAAGCATTGGAAGCAAAAGTAGATTGTAGAGACCAAATGGTTACTATGATGTGTATAGAGCAGATAACAATAAAGTGGACCCTCAGGTTTGGTGGTTACAAAAATGGGGTATGGATGGTCTAGTGTCTTTTAGCATCTTACAGTAAGAGAGCAATTTTTCAATTCTACAAATTTGCCCTTTCGAGTCAAGAAACTAGGCATGGGATAGACAAATGCTAAAAGGAAATTGAGACAACCTCAATTCTATTTGGATAGAATTTTATGAGGTACAACATCATCAAGTGACAAGATTATGCCCATCCTCCCTCTGACAATAACCTTTCATGAATCTTTCATCCTATCATCTCTAAATTATAGAAAACACTTTGGTTTCGCAGCCTGGTCAATTCAGATTACAGCTTAAAAATGTACAGTCAAGTCTTGTCCAAACATACTATGCACTGTATGGAAAGCATTACCTGTCTTAGATAATCAAATAGTTAT